ATGTGTTCCAGCTCTATCCAAGAGAATACAAGAGGTGCTATATCACCATTGTTTCTTAAAGCTGAATAGTACTCCGTGGTATACATATACCACATTTTATTAATCCACTCATGTATTGATGGACACTTGGGTTGTTTCCACATCTTTGCAATTGTGAATTGTGCTGCTATAAACATTCGGGTGCAGGTGTCTTTTTTATAGAGTGTCATGAAACAAATGACTTTTAACAGGTATGTTATTAGTAAAAATGAAAAAAAATTCAAGTGCTTCATTGAAACTATGAAGGAGATAATGTCTGAAAAACTTCTTGCAAAGAGTAAATGGTAAATACAAATGAACTCTACAATACCACATATCTCAAATTTGGCTGGGTACAGTGGCACATACCTGTAATCCCAGCACTTCGGGAGGCTGAGGCAGAAGGATCACTTGAGCCCAGAAGTTTGAAGTTGTAGTCAGCCTTGATCATGCCACTGCACTCTAACCTGGGTGACAGAGTAAGACCCTGTCTCAAAAATAAAAAAAAATCTTAAATTTGTATACATGTAAGTTACTGATATTGTCCCTAATTAGTGTGCTGTCTTGGTATTTAATTTAGTTACTATGAAGAGTATACATAAAAACTTGCATAGTTTCATTCTGACCTTGTTTTCATGTCTATTTTCTCTTAAAGCTATAAGTTTCTAAACCACGTGTTTTTCCGCAACAGAGGTTTTCAAGAAGGAAGACCATCATTCTTTGATCCTTTCTATTTCTGTTAGCAGGATTTCTCTTTGTTATCTGACCCAGCAACTTCTTTCATTTCACCTGAAGGTGGTTGGATGCTAGATGTTGGAGCAAGCCATCACCAGAGGGTAGGAGCCAAGGTTTTTAGAATTACTGTAGGCCAAACTGAAAACTCAGTTCTGTTGTCATGTTCAAAGAGCAGTAGCTGTGTTAGGACTTGGAAGCCAGATATTTCTAAGTTCAAATCCAGGCTCCACAGGAGGTTCAGATGAAATCTCACAGAATGAAAGAAAGATAGGTTCTCAGGATTGGAGAGAATGTGTGGTGCATCTAATCCAACTATTTTCTGCAATTTTGAGTGAAGCTCTGATTTTTGAACATCTCTGGGCCTTGTTCCTTTGAGTACTTGGGGATGAGTCCAGCTTCAGTATCCTTTGCCTTGAGATCTTACCTTTGGGGTTCTCTGTATTCCTAGTGTGGACAAGATAGAGCATCTTATTGTAGTCCTGTGGTGCCTGTGGAGTTTCCAGAGCCACACTGGTACTCAGATTTCTGGAGCATATTCTCACTATGGCAGTTAACCTCTCTTTACAATAGTTCCTGTTCCTAAGGAGAATAACCAAAAGAAAGGCAGTGGAAGATGCTCTCATCTAGAAGAATATGCTCCATGTCAGAGGTGGATTGTGCACTACAACATACATAGCTCAGGAAAACGTAGACATCTCCCTTGTCCCTTCTGGCTTAGGGATGGTAAATAGTTTAGGTGTTACTAAGCCCTGGATTACTCAACCGTTCCTTGCAATTCCTCTACTCCCATATCTTTGTAAATAGTCCTAGGCAGAGAATACCCTTCTCAATTTTTCTTGTTTTGAGTAGGTTATGTATTGCCTTTGGGGAAATGAGCACCATCGGTGTGTCTTGAGAGTTATTTGCATGTGTACTCAGGAGTACAGGGCAGTGAAGGGGGTCAGTTGGAAGAAACACAAAGACCAAGATCCTCATTAAGAAGAGCTTTACAATTTTCAGGGCATAGTTTTTACTTTTCTAAGAAAAGTCTGTAAGAGATTTGATAATATGAATTTAGATGGGAAGGAAGGAGTGTGGACTTAGGACATGAAAGCTGGAGGCCCAGGATGCACACGTAACTCTTCTCAGGCAAGTGTGGCTTGGACACTGAATCAAGGGTGAAGGCGAGCGAAAGCTGACATTGTGAGGTACCAGTTTATGAGGTGGAGTAAAACTCTAAGCTGGATTCCACTTGCGTCCTTCAGAAACACTGTCTTTTTAATTACGTAGGGAAAATGAGAATAAAACATAGCTCTGGTGGAATGTTCTGTCAGGCAGTATTCTGTGTGGCTTTTGAGCAAGTGCAACCACATAATTTTCCTATTTGCCATCTTTCTGAATCTCAGTCAACTGCTTCATGCCTTGGTTCAACTGGTCCTCATGTCTGGGGCCCATCATTTCACATACTGACTCAATGTATTTTCTGAACTTTTCAACATATTTGACCTTGCCTCTATAGTGACTACCAGATGCTTATCCGTTATTCATTATTGGGTTTAGTATGTATTATACTTTGCAACTGACCCATACCCATCCATTGGTCATACATGAGCTTTTCCCTGGCTTCCTGTTCTCCTGGACCAATTTTTGGCATGGGTTTCTAGACTCACTTCAAGTTTTGTCTCAGCCATTCCTTAGTTATCCCCTCAGATTAAACTTGACTTCTGTGAAATCACTTTGTAACTGAGTGTGGAGATGGAAGTGTCTTGAAGAAACAGGTGCAGCATCTAATAACTAAATTATGTCATCCTGGTATTTCAGAGTCTCCTGGTCTCTACTGTTGTATTTCCCCATGAACTTCAGAGGGGATTAGGAAGAATTTCAGAACTCCTTTTCCTAACTAGACACACACTTTGAATAATAATACTGATCAAGGGAGGTCTGTGCCCATTTTGTGACTAACCAGTAGGTAGAACTGAAAGAAAAAGAATTTACACTTAATGGTCTAGGCAACTTACCTGGGGAATTGCAACCTAGGTTTGGGGACCTTGGACTGACTTGCAAACTAGCCATGCTTCTCCGCTTGCTAACCGGGCCTTGAATTGGAAAGTGAGATTGTTCTGAGGACTGTCAGATCCCCTTGAGCAATAGTTTTCAGTCTGCATTAGAATCACATTTTAAAATTTCCTATGCCTACATCCCATGTCAGGTCATTTTAATTAGAATTTCTAGTGGTAGAGCCTGGGCACTAGTATTTAAATAAAAGGCTCCCATGTGATTCTAAATGCAGCAAAGTTGGAAAACTACAGTCTTAAAAGATAAATTGGATTAAACCTCCAGAGTTGAAAACTCACCCAAATTTATTATATTGGGGTGAAAAAGTGGCTGAGTGCCCCATCTGGGATGCTGAGGCAGATGAAGGATTGCTGGTTACTAATGTTGACATCCCTTCCTTTCATCTTGGGCTGCTCC